TTTTTTTTTTTTGCATTAGCATATGCTTTGAGTTCACATAAACGAATGTAGCCACCAGATTTCATACAAACAAACAAGCAGTCTTAGTTTTGAAAAATAAATCTAGATCTAAAAATTTTCATTCTGATACACATACCTTGCAGCAAATCAAGCTATCATCTCACGTGCGTCGCCATTTTCTGATCATGTGACTACCATTTAACGACTTCCAAAGTGATGTTACTTTGCAAATTACTACGACATTTTACTGCAACTGTGCAAACGAGACTTAAAATCTTTAGAACGAAGTTAGCAGCTTGTGTATCCTTCTTAATGAGCGGGGTTTGCAACAAAGGAAGTGTAGAAAATATATAGGTCAAAATGTCATGTCGAAGGTAAGAGTGACGTAAAACGGCTGCCATCAAGTACTAGCTTTTGGACAGGAAATCTGTCGATGTGAGTATCACCCACTTTTCATGTTTTATTACTTGATATAAACAACGGGGCGTATGCTGCAGTATGCTGAATAATGTTAAATGATTTACAGTTCAATTGTATATAGATAGACAAAGTTGTCTTTATGGAATGCTCATATGATTTTGTCTCAAACGGAGTAGTAAGAAAAATACATTGGCACAATGTAGTGTATACTATATAGTCACTTAATAGTGTTCTAAGGATACATATAGAATACTAAGCTCGCCTGTTATCTCAATACATTGATTGATTAAAGAGACACTCAAAAGGTTTTTGATAATTGCTTGATAACTATATTGCAAAAAAAAAAAATTACTTGATGGGAGCTGCGACCCTTCAAGCCTTCTAGTAAGTTCTACAGCCACTAAAACCAGGCAGATTTGGTAACCTCATACTTCTAAGTACTTCTCTGGTTTGGTTGCCTGTTTGCATTCACTGTATCTCCAGCACTAAGACAGCCCTCTGCACATGAGTTTGTTGCTGTGTGGTTAAGATAGGCTTGAAGTTAACTCTCTGATATGCTTACTACCAGTACAGAAGAAAGGCTATTATCAAATGTTACATGCCCAGATGCTACTGCATGCTGAGCATCTTAGTAGATTTTTATGACCTGTGAGATTCATCAGGGAGTGTCATGAGACTCTAGAGACCTTATTATGCCATAATGAAATAACTTCTTGCTATAGAAGTTTTTGAACACTATCATACACTGGGGTAGCGCTAGCAATTTTTTTTCGCTTAGCCATATCACCACATTTTTGTCAATTTGTTATCAAAATGGTTATAATTTGGCATCAAATCAAGCCCTTTTCCTTTAGCCAATTTAAGTCAGTTTTAGCATTTCGCTAAATTGACGAGTGTTAGCGCTACCCCAGATACATACATACATGTAGCTGACTGATGATGGAAACAAAGATACAACTTTAGTGATTATCAAGAACGTTCAGGACACCATCTTCCCACCTCAAGAGAATTCCCTTAGACCAATAGTAAAAGTAGACCAAACATCATTTTCCAAGTAATCACAAGCCGAGTGTATATGGAGTTTACGACTAATACCTGATTAGTGTGACATTAAACATACATGTATGTCTCTGAGCTTATCTTAATTTGTCAATCTTAAAACAGTAGTGGGGCTTTTGTTTTTATTTGATGCCAACCAGACAAACTGCAGACAGTGCTGTCTGCTGAGAAAATAAATAGTGACTTCTGTATTGATTTTTCTCTACATATGGACCAATGCCTCTAGTCTACAAAGGCTTTAAGGCTGATGCGCTTTATTAGATATACATCAAAGAATGTTGAAACAAGGGATTTAATATAAGTGAAAAATGCAGTATTATTACAGAACGACAAGATTGATAAACTCTTATGTTAGGTCAATTTCAGCTTATCATAGTGCATCAAAATTAAAGAAAAAGGCTAGATATGCTCAATACTGTAGCATTCATTTCTTGCATTTTACCCAACACTTTGAAATGCAGAGTTATAAAGACCTGTAGCTGTTATATTGGCAAGGTTATGCTCAGCAGGCAGATATATATATGTATGATGTATTGTGTCAGTAGCCTACCAATACTTTTACCTGTACATACAGTACACCTGTGCTCTGAACATGCAAAATATGTCTGGTTACCACTATATACCAAGTATAAATTAGATTAGTCTGATGGAGCCACAGATGTATATCTAATAGATCCAGCATTAGATTTAGCATTAACAGAGAGCTATTCCTTTACTAAGATATAAATGTCAGTAAGAAAGCAAACTTTTAAGTATGGTTGTTAGTGCAGCTAGGTTTTACATCTGGGTCAATATATGCTATTGAGTAATTTGGGAAATGACCTAGAAAGAGGGAAGAGTATGGAGCGTTTAACCCTAAACCAATTAGAATGTCTGGACCCCTATATGTGGCATCTTTTATATTGGATGTTTGCTATAGCTTATAAACCAATGCAGGCTAAAATTCCTCCTTTTATAACAAAGATTATGCCTGCAATATAAAATGCAATGGGTTTCTCAGCATGTTTATGTTGCCAAATACAGGTTGATAATTGAATTTACAACCATATCCATTAGCTTCTTCAACTTTTAGATAATAACTTCAATATTCAATTTCAAAATATGAAGTATTTTTCCTTTTTTGCAGACACATGAATCAGCAATTAACTCCACAAGTACCAAGATATACAGGTGCTCTATTTCATCTTCGTAATAGGTGCAGTTGCATGCTTCAAAAATGCAGCAGTTAAGCGATGAAGGGCATTGTGTAGTAAAAATGATGGGAATTTTTTACTGGTGCCAAGTGCATGCTGTAATTTAAATGAATAGATTCATGGTTGATACCTTTTGGCACGGTATGCATATTGTGTATAATATGAATGCTGTGAACACTTTAAAAACATGTTATTGTGAAGATTTTTTTTTCCTGTAACAATTTGAGTTATTGAAATATTCAGTCTTTCAAAAGATCCACAGTCACCAGTTTAGTTTAACAACAAGTAAATTGTTATGTTTCTGTATCATGAAGCATTTCAGTAAGATAACTTTACTGTGTATGATCCAAAGAGACTACTTATCTCATTACAGAAACAGACTTCATTGCATACAAATTAAATGTATCTTATTCAGTAGTAGTCTGCATGGTTTGCTGTCTTGGCTACATGCTGCAGTATGATTGGCCAGTAGACTGCCAAATTGACTGCCCTCAAGTTGACATTTGATAAAGAGAAACCTTGGTTTTGTATCAATCACTGACATCTGGATAACTTTAGTCTCCTGTAGTGCCCGTTCATAGGTAAGGTATAAAATTGCTGAGAGGTAAAGGGATTAAACTTGGTATTGGCACCTCCTTCTTACTTTATTAACTATTACATAACCTTTGCTGATGGAGACTATGGTTCTCAATCTGACGTGTATATGATATTTGTTTTTTTATTGGCATTCAGATTTTTTGCACCAGCAAGTTTACATTATTATGGTAATAGCTAGGGATAAGATTTTCCCTCTTTACATAGGTTTCTTACTTTTAATTTACCAAAAAAAAAGGTTTGTTGAAAAAAAGGTCTTAGTCTAAGTCTGTTTGCATTCTGGTGTAACCAATATTTTAATGACATTTAAGTTAAACATGTGCCTCTGGTGCTATGAACTCTGGATGGTTGGGATACCTGTGCATGTTCTAGTATCAACACTGGCACAGCTGGATAGAAGGGGGCAATAAACTGAAACTCTCACATAAACCATTAGGAGATTGTGGTTATTCAATATATTGTACTAGATGTTAGTGCAAGCAACTATCACCATGGATAACATTCTAAACACTGATGTACTCTAATCTATCAAGGAGGTTAATAACAATAACATGTTCTGCCTAATACAAACTTTCTGCTGCAACTGCAATGGGAATGCATATTAATCCAGAGGTGCAAAGTTTAACCATGTTATTTATGTACAATAAATAGGTAAATTCAGTGTGTTAGTAATGGTTGTCATTTACTGAAGGTTTATCCTATAATATCTATAATTAAATTTGGCATTTACCAATGGTAACATAATGAAGAAGGTTTATCTGTCACCTGTTCATCCCAATGATATATATATATATACATGTAACATGGTCCAATAATTCTAGATGACCTTTTTCTGGTTTTGTATTTTCCTGCTGCTGGGTATCTGCTACCAAAATTTATATTCCTTTTGGAATGATAAAGAGAAGTAAAATTTGATAAATTTTAGCATGCTAGTAAGTGATTCAGTTTATGATGTAATTATCATTTAATCAGTGGAAATCAGTTATTCAACTGAAAAGAATAGAAAAACAGACTTAATCATTAATTGACACATTTTACAAGCAAGTGCTTTATATTTATTAATGTTTCACCCTCATATTTGACCTCATTTCAACTGGAAAGAGAGTTGTTTACTATGAATGATACTGTTGGTACATGTAAACACAACACATAAAGAATGCACCCAGTACCAAAGGTCAAATTAATGATATTACAGCAGTTTGATTTAAGTCGTAGTAATTGATTTTTCTAACCATTCAGGGAAGCATTGCCTTCATCTGGAGCCTACCTTTAGAGGAATTTCTACTACAGTTGTTAATTATAGGGGAGATTTGGAGATTAACTGTTGAATGTTAATGTCTGTTTGGTTATTATTAGTTGGTACAGGTGACATCAGTGAGCTATAAGAATTGATATTCAGGTAGGCAGCTGTACCCGATTCCAGAAAATAGAAGGGGCACATGTTATGTTAAACTCTACAAAAGCACATGATGTTTGTAGCTGTGTTTGTATTATATTTATTTGGACTTTGATTTCAGATACATGCCACCACCAAGAGTAATCTGTGAATACACTGCATGTGTTCTGGGCCATGTGCCACAAACTTCCTGAACTGTTGACCTCCTAGGTCAGGATCAGCTACTCTGGACCGGGTGTGGTGCCAGTGAGGATGGACCTCACCCCAGGACACCACAAAAACAGTCAGACCCAGGAAAAGAATCAGGATCATAGCGCTGTTACTATATGAAACTGGTGCATAGGCAAAGTTTATATTTAAATGATTGAAAAAGATCCGTTGGCCTTTCTATCCAATGTCATTGACCACAGGATGGCATTCGACGAGGACGAACCAGATCATGATTTGCCAGACAAGAGTGTCGCAAAGGAGTTTTATGCTCGTTATGAACCCAAGGAAATCCTTGGAAGGTATGTTTTGGATTGGAATGCAGCACATGTCGATAGGGACAGGTGATCTGAGAGCTTATACAAAAATTTAAAAAGCACTTTTAGATAGTGCAGACCTATGCCAAGGCAGCTCAGTTATCATTGTTATTTATTTATTATCATTAATTTATGTGTCACAACCAAAATTTGTTATTGATTCAAAGTTAGTCAATATCTGATCCATTTGTAAGTTGTAATGTATTGAGTTATGGTATTAACAAACCAACAAAGGCAAAAAGCATAACCTCCTTGATGGAGGTCATAAACCTTAAAACTCTAGTTATCAAAAAAATATCCAAAAAGTTAATTTCAGTCTCTCCAGATAAGCTGAGCTAATATTTTAATAGAAAATTCACGTTTTTTAATATAATTTTTTCTGATATGCTAGAATGCAGAGTTTTACTTTTACCCATCATATGGTTTGTCTTGGTTTTTGGTATTCCCACCTTGACATGCATATGATAAAGCTGAGATTTATACATGTATGGATCCAAGTCTGTGTATCCAGACAATGAAAATCAGTATGATAAACCACTTTCTGTAAAGAGAGTCTGGATTAAGCCTCACTTAACACCAAGATAATGTACGGGGGCACCTAGTGCTGTAGGCTTACAGCTATTTAGAATCCAATATAAGAGCAGCTGTATTAAGAGATAAAAAGTCACTTTTCAGATAAAAAGTAACCAAGGACAAACCATAGCATTACTTAGGAAAGCTGGTGGTGACAGGGTGCAGCAGTTTTGACCCAGTTTTTTTCAGTTTTGTTTCTGACCACGTTTTTTCAATAAATGTTAAGGGCTTTGTTTACTGGCCATCATGCTGGGTCTCTAGAGTCAGGCGTACACAAATGAAAGCATGTCAATCCAAAAAGTTATTTTTAGGCACAATGCAATGATAAGTAGCCATTAATTCCCAGGCATGTAAACAAAGGAATCATTCTTGGACTAGTGGACATCATTTATTAGAGCCCCTCAAAACAAGTAAACACTGTAGGTACATGATTACAGGCCACTTATTACATCACTCGGCAAACAAACATGTAAATAAACAGGTGGTGGTTATCCTGCAAAGAAATCATTTGAAAACAAACCTCGATAATGGGCTATGTATGACCTTGAGGGGCATTTCAGCTGGCCCTGAGAATGGACACAAACGATTAATGTCCAAAACACCCTGATTTGTCCAGACATTAATCTGAATGAATGGGATATAAACTGGGCTAAACATTCATTTTGTTACCGTTATAAGGACACGTTGACACACCTCCAAGTTTATTGTCCAATCAAAATACAGCATTTAGGCCCAACCCTCAAAGCATCCTTCTGTTTATAAACTTCTGCAGGTTCCCTGCATGAAAGTTTTAAGCAGAGACTAGTTGAACAATTAGAAAATACAATGTGTTATGGTTGTGGTAAAGTGGAATCTACGTAAGTTGATATAGCTTGAAGTAAGATGTAAGCAAGGGAATTTTGTCACCATTTAACCTGTGATTCAGTTAGGTTTTGCTGTTTCTGCTTTGGAATATTAAATGAAGTATGTAAAATTATGTACCTAGACTACACATAAATCTGGCTGAGTTTTTTCTTGAGTAAGTTCACAACTAAGCTAAGATAATTGTGAGAGACCATGACCTTAGAACTTTTAAGAAAAAGGAGGTCCCGGTCAATCTTAAACACTATGATATTAGACCAAATTGTTTCCCTAACTACAACAACTAGTGATTCAAACACCTTATTTATATAGGAATTATTATTTTCAGTATTTACCAGTATAAGAAACTAAAAACTTACATGAATCGCACATGATTAATAGAACCTGTTGATCATTTTTTAAATTTAGGATTTACCAAGAAAACTGTATGTTATGGGAAATGTAAGAAGTTACTTTTGTTTAAATCAAGTGGACACTAGCCATGTTTGTTTTCTTTATTTCAGGGGGGTCAGTAGTACGGTGAGAAGAGTGAAAGAGAAATCAACTGGTAGAGAATTTGCTGCAAAGATTATAGACATAAGCTGTGAAAAGTCTACAGACCATCAGGCAGAAGAATTGAAATCTGCAACAAAGAAAGAAATCAACATTCTGCGCATGTGTGCGGGCCACCCACATATAAGTAAGCTCATTTAATCATTCATAGGAAGAGGTGTGAGACGAAGTTGATAATTAATTTTTTATACCTAAAGAGAGAAGAATGAAAAAATATAGTTTTCATTCACATGCATAGCAATTTGGGGGAGGAGTGGGCGTGGACAGTTATTCTTTTAAACACATGAAAAATCTAATGGTTTAAGTTTTGTTAATTTATCATTAGTACGACAGACACATGGGAAGACCACTTAAATTTTCCATTGATGAATAATGAACAAGGATATAATGTGCCCCCCCCCCTCCCTCCAGCAGCTGTTCTCTCATGTATATTACATAGCAGAGTGGTATGCATTCACTTATAGGGATAACTTCAGCACTTCCTAGATATAAAATATCCTGTTATCTGGTGTAACCTCTTTGGTATCTGTATATAATATATGCCTGCATGTACTAGTATGTGTTACCTGGCAAACCATTGGCACAAGAATCCTGTATAGAAGTCACCTTGAATGGGTCAATAAACCCCTTATTCTGGCCAGTGTGAATATGGTGAAGCATTGTTTTACATCCATGTCACTGTATGGAGAGCTCACATCTGTTAATATGAAGAAATTAATATCTGAATCATTGCCCGGGGATTATTTTAGTGAATTACACTGTGGGATTATTTTCATCAGCTGCAAAAGTTATTTTTAAAAACAATTTGTAGGACTTACATCAGATTAATATTGTGCATTACCTCTTTTGAAAAAATAACCAAAAAAATTTCCTTTGTTATGAATTGATTATCTTTTGTATACTGTGTTAAAGTCAATCAATACTGTGGGGGAGGATGAAAATGAAAAATGAGTCATCTCTCTTTAATTTTGCCTGACTGCTATGTTCACTTAACCAGACCAGCCCACATAACACTTAGCATTTAAGATATCCTTTCTCTATCTCAACAAGTCCTGTATCAAACTGCACAAAACCACACTCTACTAGTCGTTATAAATAGTTTTCCCTGTAACACATTTATAATGTGGAAATGATTCTTGCCTACGATACATTTACTCCCCCTTATTCTGATGAAGGTGACTTTGACTTTTGTATTATAATTTCTGTGGCAAAAAGGGGTAGATCATATAGTAGCAAATGTGGAATTAAGCATGTGCTGGTTTGGTACATGTAACAGGGCATCAGTACTCGTTTTGGAACAGGTCCAAATGAGGATGGTTTGAACACTGAAGGATGTATGGAAGTAATGGAACTTTAGTAGTCAGAGCTTTTGTACAAGGAAATGACAAATAATAAAATTCTACAATTTGCAGTTTTCCTTCTCAGAATTAATTAAGGATATAATTCAAGCACCTGTAAGACTGAAAATCAATATATTATTATTATTTTAATTACTTTTGCAGTTGAACTCCATGATGTTTTTGAGTCTCCTACCTTCATCTTCTTGGTATTTGAAATGTAAGTTTTTAAAATAATAATAATTATTATTATTATTATTATTATTTTGTAATTTAGACAAAATTATGCCTTGTAATGGTATATGATATATACCCTGTAAAAGATATGATCCCTGTGTTGACACAACACCCAGTTGTGGTTGCTTTTGCATTGTTTTATATATGACTTTATCATGATTAGAACCACACAGGATATCAGGTAGTGTAGTTTATTAAATATATATATATATATATTTGTGAAAAGGTTATGATAGTCATTCTTCTAATTTTAGATGCAAGAAAGGAGAGTTATTTGACTACCTTAATCAGGTAGTCACATTGTCAGAAAAAAGAACAAGGTATTTATCCATTTTTCTATGGGAAATTACTATTTTTTTTAAATTTAAGTTATTAATTTATTTTATATTTTAGACCTCTTTGTGGCTTTGATGTTATTTTTTATGTAGCAAGAAACATCTTATTTTGAAATGTTGTAAGCACTGCATCATATAGATTGGTATGTCATTTTAACCAAATAGACATGTTCAAAGAAACAAAAAAAGTTCATTTGTCTTAATTTGAAATTTAGAATAGAGTTATTTTCCATTTCAGAATCGTCATGAAACAGTTGCTTGATGCTGTAGAGTTTATACACGACAAGAATATTGTTCATAGAGACCTCAAGGTATTTATTGTCTGACATCAGTGTAGGAAAAGTGTTTTATAGTGCTTTGCTTAGATATTTACCATATTATGATTGTTTGTAAATTAATTTCCAAAACAAACCCTACTTCAGATGTTTTCATTTTTCTTCAACATAAATAAATTTAAGTATATTATTTATATTATTCTGTTTCAGCCAGAAAATATCCTCTTAGATGATAATATGAATGTGAAGTTGTCAGATTTTGGTTTTGCCACAGTTGTTAGTAATGACAATGAACTCTTTGGTAAGTAATTAAAATGTTGGTCCAACTGCAATTATTACTATTTAGTCTATTTTTATTAATTTATTTTTGTTATTATTATTTGAATAAGTGGGAAAAGTCAAGTTTATATTGAACATTAAAGGAAATTTATAAAAATGCTTTTAAAATTTTAGTAGATATATTTCAATTAATATTGAGTCAAATTGTTAAATTTTGTTGTGAGAATAATAAGTAAACTGATTACATCTGGGGCAGAGGTACCTCTCAGGTACCCCCTGAAGATATTAGTCTTCTTTAATTTAGCATTGTGGAACATGTAATTGGCATTACTTGCCTGTGTCCTCTAATCATCATCACTTTAAAGTGCTAATTAGGAGATGTCTTTATACGTTGTGAAATTACATGTCAATTAAACATTTCACTTGTGTTTGTTCTCGACACTTAGATTTGTGTCATTAACGAATGATCTGCACTTTTGACTTAGAGTCAACCATCTCCTTTACCAAAAACAGAATTTATGTACATGAATCATTTGCTTTTGTCATGCATAAGATGTGCCCACTGTCATTTCCTCTAACTGATAAGACAAGTCCTGTAGGAAGTGTATAGGATTCCCTGGCTATCCATAGAAGATGACAAATGAATACTGGTTTTTAAAGGACACCTTCTTTTGATTAAGATGTCAGACCACAGCCAAATGCTGTAAGTGGCAATAGATACCGACTAAAACATACCCTCATACCTCATATTAGAAAGTTGATAGCCTTTGATGGTATATATATATATTATTTCTGAATGGTTTGTAGATTTATGTGGCACCCCAGGGTATCTTGCGCCTGAAGTCTTGAAAGTGTCCATGTTTGAAGATGTGTCAGGATATGGCAAACCAGCTGACATGTGAGTAGATGTTATCCCATATGGAAATGATCATCTTTAAGTCAACTCATTGTTTCATAAGTCAGAACTGCATTTTGTAATTTATGGATTATGCAGATTGCAGACACCCTTTTTATTTATTTATTTATTTATTTATTTATTATTGTTAATTTAATTATTTCTCACAGAAATCCAATGCTAAGTTGAGAAAAGTGATTTGGTTCCTTGTCAGAAAGAACATTTTGTAATTAAAATCTGTAACTTGAAATGCAAAATCTTGAAATTTCAAATAAATAAGCTGTTAGAAT